TCTTTCCTAAGAGTAGTTTTTGAAGTGAACTGTGCATTAGGATTGTGTACAATCTTAATATATCGTTGCCAATTAGGATGCTCAGACCACCGGTTGCGCGATCAAAAGATAATTGTGTTTGGCGGAGTTCGAGTCCGCTAGATTGGCTAAGCTTTTGAAGACACTTTTCGGAGTGTCGTCTCAAGTGTGTGGTGCCGTGAATAGTATCACCTTGTAATTTAGATAAACAATATTTACACTGAGCTATATGTCTAGTGTTACCTTCATTATCCACCTCGTCAATTATGTCAAAGTGATCCCAAACTGTCGAGGTATGCATTTCCTCCTGGAGGTTGCAACACTTGCCGACGCAGACGCAGTCGCACTCGCCACCGCTTCTCCACGCCCACTATTGCGACCACGACCTCTAATACGTCCACCATGGCTTGGATTAGTAGATTGCTGCGTAACAAACTCATTAGTGAGAAATTGCCCTTCTTCTACATTGTGTTGGGCATCAACGGGAATACCACTATAACCAAAAGGATCCATTATAAAAAAATAAGATGAATTTGAGAGAGAGAGAGCTTTAGAAAAATTGTGAGAGAGATTGAGAGAGGTTGAGAGAAATTGAAAGAGATTGAGAGAGATTGAGAGAAATTGAGAGAGATTGAGAGGGATTGAGAGAGTTTGAGTGAGAAAAATGTGTGGGGGATGAGGGGTATTTATAGGGAAATTTTAGGGTTAAAAAATGATTTTTTTTTCAAAAAAAAAAACGGGATAAACGGCTATTTTTTGAAATTCGGGCAGTCGGGCAACCTCGGGCAATTTGGGTTTTCAGGTAAAATTCAAAAAACTAGCTGTTTCGGGTAATTCGGGCAGTCGGGCAACTTGGGCAGTTTGGGTTTTCAAGCAAAATTTGGGTAAAAATTCAAAAAACTAGCTGTTTTCGGGTATTCGGGCAATTCGGGCACCTCAGGCAGTTCGGGCAGGCGGGAAAAATTCGGGCAAAATTCAAAAAAATACCCGTTTGAGTGAATTCGGGCAGCGGGTTCGGGCACTTCGGGCACACTGAATTTTCAGGCATTTTTTAGGTCGGGCAATTCGGGCAGTTCAGGCATGGTCAGAAAAATTCAAAAAAATCCCGGCGGACGGCGGTATACGGTGGTTAGATGGCAGTGGGCAAGTGTGGACATGTCAAATTCGGGCTGCCCGAGCCCGAACCCGAAAATCTTGCTTGGGCGGGCAGGAAATGGGCTTCCCCGCCCGAGCCTAAAAAAATTCGGGCAGCCCGCCGACCCGAAGTTCTGGCACTAGTTCAATCCATTGACATCCACTTGTCACATTGTAAATCTAAACTGCTAACTCTGGAGGGGGTTTAAAACATTAAAAACATAATAGTAAAAGTGAGTGGAAGGCCCAATAGGATATAATTTTATAAAATATTGTAAATAATGGTACTCACGGTTTGAAGACATACACCCGGAACCGATCATCCTTTTTAGAAAAAAGAAATACTCACATAGTAATAGTAAAATATCTGTATAGTGAAAATATGCAGAGCCATAACACCACTAAGCAAGAAGTGGACCATACGGATTTCAGGACCTACCCCCAAGGTACGATTCCCATATCCCGATCTCTGAGGCCACTATGCGTTTTATCATTTCTTAAATTTTTCATTTTAAGAAATGATACTCTTTAAAATCTCATTTCCAAAATCATTAGAAACTCAATAACATTATTCATGCTATTCCTTTAAACTCATTTTCTTTAAACATATTTTATTCTAAAACATTTCCATTGGCCAAAATGATTTAAAGTAAGGCTAACAAGTATATGGACAAAAATATCCTACCTCTTGGTAATTTAATCTACAGATAACTTCACGCTATCCAACCGTCTATTCTTGAAGCTCCACGACTCACCCTAAACCTCAACAAATCCATTTGATTCACCTCGATCTGCGTACACAGTACCGTTAGACTTTTCAACGGAGTGGAATTGGTGCAAATGAAGGTCATCGTTGCGTTCAACACGTCGAAATGAGTCAGGATATGGTCTCAGATCTTCGATCGAACGTCGAGAACCTCAAGAACTGAGACTCGCCAGAATCCGGCCATCGGCGGGGGTTGTCGGAGCACATTTCTGCGGCGGACTTGGGTCCTACCCCCCATAAATCGGTCATTCTAAGTTCAATAGTGCAATCAATTTAACCAAATGCGGCCTCTATCTACTCCGATCAAACCCAAAGACGTCGGTAAAATCCAGCGACTTGGTTCTCGATTCTCTAGCAATGGAACCTCAAAATTGGCTGAGGCCTTTTGTTACCCACTTCTTTTTGAGTGTTTTGACACCAAAATCATGACAATCCAATGGTTGGATCATCAGAAGTACCCTTCACCCAAACGGCGGTGACGGCAAGCTCTGATCTCTGGTAAAAGCGGCGGAGAGTTGCTTCTTGCTCTACGTCATCCTCTGAGTCCAATGGCACCAGCAGTGTAAAAAGCGGAGGCCGGAACAGTGCACAATAAAGTGGAGGTGCGGCGGCCAAAATGGTGGCTCCGGCGATGGTGCTCCGGCGATAATCGGCGGGTGAGACGACATGGATTTTGTTCGTCTCGTCAAGCTGAGTCCATAAGGACCAGAATCACTCTGATCGGAGGTCGGATGGCAAAGTTACGACGGCGAGAAGTTTCAGTAGTTTTCAAAAATTTCTCTGGCGAGCTGTTTCTGGCGGAGATGGAGGTCGTGCGGCATGTCAACGAGTCCAGCTCGCCGAGAGCTTTCCGATGGTGTGGGTGGTGTGGCGAAACGACACTGGAATCTCATCGGTGTTAGGTGGCTGGCGTGGAGAGAGAGAGAGAGTGAACGTGAGAAAGAGAGAGAAAGTGTACGTGGGAAAGAGAGAGAAGGAGAGAAAAATGAGTAAAAGAAAGAAAAAGAAAAGGAAAAAGAAAAAAAATAGATTTAGACTTTCTGAGTAAATTTGATAATTAGATTTCAAAGTCTAATTTGAATAGGGTATGGAATGACTCATGATTTAAATTCTGAAAAATTAGTTACCAACACTCAAAACTGTTCGAGGGACAACAATGTCAATTTCAAAACAATCATTTTTAAAGGAGAAACATCCTTTACATGATAATTATAACTGAGAATCTTTCACTAATCTCAAATTAATTAACACTAATCACCAGATTTGATTAATTAATCACAATTAATTTAACCGGATGTTACATGATGTGCAATGGGAGGTTGCTATATGCGGGTCATGACCTGCATTTTCCAATGAGGTTGCAACCCTACCACTTTTGAGGTTTTAGCCATTAAACGTGTTATGGCAACTAGTAAATTTGTCATCAAGTAAATTTAATATTTAATTACTATTGGTTGATATGTTTATTTTTTTCAAATAATAGACATTTGCATATTCAAATTACTTTAAAATTAAAAAAATTTACTTTTACAATTTTTAAAACTTAGGTAATATTTGGTTTATGGGTTCAAAACCATGGTTTATGATTCTGATTTTTGAAATTTAAATTTTTTATGAGAAAAAAACACTGTAACGAACTAAGAACCATGATCCTAAACCAGGTAAAACCCTTGAAACAAACGTCACCTTAATGATTATAATAAAAAGTAAATTTAACATTTAAAATAACAATTATGCAATGGAACGCAAAAAAATTACATGTCAAATATCCATTCACACTTTTTGATATCAAATATACAATTAATATTTAGCATTTACATTAGAGCTGATTTAGGGCTTGTTCTTTTGGATTAAAATTCAAAAAAAGTTTGAACTCGAGTTTGAACTTGAGTTTGTGGCTAAAATCTGAGTTCAAGTTTCCCTTTCAACTCAAGTTCTTATGGCCCGTTTTATTCGCTGATTCGAGTTTTTAATTTGAGGTGAGATGTGATTTTATGTGAGAGCTTTTTACTGTAGTAAAAAAGTTAGATATGACTGTTTATGAGAGTTTTTTTACTGTAGCAAAACTCAAATTCTAAACTCGAATTAGTGAAATGAACAGAACCTTAAGCTCAAACTCAAGTTAATGAACATTATTTTTCTATTTTTAAAAACACCATAACTTTTTCGTTTAATTCCGATTGAAATGATTTTTTTCTATGTGTTCATAATGAAAAGATGAATAAAATCCCATCCATATACCCTATTAAAATTTTTCATCACTATTGAGTTTTTATTAACATACTATGTAAATAGAAATTCATGTTTTAACTTATGCAAATACAAACTCAAATAGATTTTTAATTCAAATCATAACTCAAATGTGTGCATCTAAACACAAACTCAAATAATAACTCAAATTTAATTCAAAATCTATACTCGAATCATCATAACTTAAAAATGTAACCGAACAAATCCTTAATAATGTCAATCCATATCTCCATACTTCAAGTAAAAAAAAAAAAAAGAAAAAAAAGCCCGGTGTTAGATCATTCAATGGAGTTTGACTTTGACCTGGTCACATAGTAAAATCCGTGTTCTCACTCACACATCACAAAAAAACAACCCTACTAAAAGTTACAATAAGTCACAAAAAGCCCTCAGAATTCAGATCTCTTCACCACTCACCAGTCACCACACCACCACCATTGCCATTTGGTTCCAGATTTCCAGTAAAGACAGGCGCGTTCATCGATTGTCAGCCCCACCCGTCGCGCGCTACGCTAGGGGCCTAGGGCCTAGCTAGGCCCAGGCCCAACCCACAGCCCATACTCATCCCTGATCAGATTTCATATCATATCAGATCAGGTCAGATGGCAGAGAGCGACAAAACCCGTTTTGCACATTTTTGGAAAAGATCCGGTGGGCCCTCCCTCACTACAAATTACCTCTTTTAACACCACCTTATTTCTTTTTATTATTACTTTTTCCTTTATTTTATTTGTATTTTTTTTGGGTCTAAAATCTGTTATATAGAGACCCGCGCAAGAGTTCTGCGGACAATAGAGCGAGAAAACGCAGAAGCGACTCTTTAGAGAGGGGGAGAGAGAGAGAGAGAGAGAGAGAGGTAAAGAAATCCACAATTTTCTTTTGTTGGTGTAGTACTGTTTGGTTGCCGAGAATATTTCGGAAAATAATTAGCCACTTAAGTTCCTTATTAGTATTTTGCTTCATTTTGTTTTTCTCTTTTAAGTTTTATTGAAAGATTCAGCATTTGCTCTGGAATAACATGTAGGTTTCGTGGGAAAAATAGCTTCACATGCTGATTTCCTGAAATGCTTTGGGTAATGCTTTATGCTACTCTGAGCTGCGTTGCAAAAAAGAAAAAAAAATGGAATTTTATTCTCATTGTTACTATGGTTTTAAGTTTTTGTGGTTTGCTAAGGTAATTTCATTGTTGCTTGATTTATATTTAGTGTTCTTTTGGTATTTGTGCGTTATTATGCAGATTAACGGCTGATTTTTGGCTGTGATGGTAATATGTGAGTTTCTTATTCCTCAAGTTGTTTGCTTGAAGTTTTTTGGTCCAATATTTCTTGATGTTTGTACGGAAGGCAGAGATTTGAAACAAAGCAGGAAATTTTCTCCCTTGTGTTGCTGAGTAAAAAGGGTGATTGACAGGAAAATTTTTGTATTTTTGGGTGATAAGTAAGAGAAATATCTCAGGGTTTGAAATGATATTTCATTGGACCAAAAAACTGCTCCTGTTTTTTTTGTTATATTGATGAGTTTTTCCAATGACTGTTGTATGGAGGCTAAATTGTTAAGTTGGCAGAGTGTTCATTGGTCTTAGTTTATACAGTTTTGGGTATTTTGTAAATTACGTGCAAAAGTCAAACTAATTGTGGTTAGAATTTTTTAGGCAATCTCTATTTTATCTGGCATGGGATTGGAGGAAAGATTTGCAGAGCTACACGTCGATAAAGAAAAAGCTCCAGAGACATGGAGTATTTGCAAGCATGCCTTTTGTGATCTGACATGTATTTCTCCACTGGTGTTTTTGTACCTCCTGAAAGGATGTTATATTCATGGTATGAGTTTCCTTTCTCCACTGTAAATCTTAATCTGTTCAAACATGTGCTCTTGTGATGGGGAATAATAAATTGTTACCTAGCTATGGATTGCATTAGATATCAATCTGCAAAAATCCACAAACACGTGTATTTTCATGCAAGTGTCTTTAGATGTAAAAGAAGAAAAGTGCTAATGGACTTTCCAGTTCAGAGTTTGATTCTTAAGCTAGCTGGTTATATACTATCGTGTGTACTACTTACTAGGTGTACCATGTGATGTTCATCCATTCAATGGCTAATCTTTGCCTAATATCACTGAGCTTCTGGGTAAATTTTTGGTAGAAAAACTTTTCTACATGTTGTTAATTTTTATTTTTTTCATGTAAAATGTTAAATAGGGACATGTAAGGCGACCAAGAAGTTCCGAGCTCTTCAACAACAGGTCCATCTAGTATTACACAATAGCCCGC